GTCGAATCGAACGACCCTCAGTGACAAATGTGGGAAAACAAAAACAAAAGAGGTATCATAGATGAGAGCCCGAAAAAGCAGACAATGAAGACAGAGGAATGAGACAAAGAGAGAGACGGAGGGGAAAGCAAGACAGTAGAACAGTATCACACGTGGTTAACCGGTGGTGTTTTTCTCGCCGAATTTTGCACTGAAATTGTCATATTGCCCTGATCTTTTGCGTTTTCTGGTTTTCTTTTTGTTGAAATGAACGAAGTTGTCATCAAGTTCACCTCACATACATCAATGAACATTCACGTAAGAAGCCGAAGCTGAGATACAATCACCACATGTGGAAGCCGTCACCAAAATTATCATCATTAATTTATTATACAAAGAAATGTTCATGTCTCCAGCGGCTCTGCCGCACACACACACACACACACACACACACACACACACACACACACACACACACACAGAACTGATCTCAACCGGATGACGGCTCTCTTCTCTCTGGCTTGGCTCGCTCTGCCTAACTCCCTGTCTCTAACCTACACCATAACCCTGGATACACCCACTCAGGTAAGCTTCCTACTTGGAGGCTATGGCCACCGGGCCCCTCCTCCTTCCTCCCTAGCTATGGAGACCCCAAGCGCCTTACTCTTCCTCCAGTTGCGATGTGCCCAATTTGCAGCAGCAGCAGCGCTTCCGCATCTCGCAATTGAACAAGTGATGAGCCGCTGCACTGTGGCAGCTAAATATAGGACTCCACTTGGCTTGGCCTGCTTCAGCCCGGTACCGGTCGGCTGCGGCCTGTCTGCTGCAATTGTTTTGTCGGTCCGGTTGCTTCCGGACTTTCCTGGGACATGCTACAAAATTGGACTTGGGACTGGACTTTTCTCGTTGGGCACCGGATGGACTTCTGCCGACCTCTGATGTTTAGGTACCGACGCCTACCAACCTATGACGTTTCGGCCACTAGACCCTACAACCTCCCCTACTGGGAGAGCCTGGGACCGAGACTGCCTGGGACTGGGACACTTTGGGAGCCTGGGACCGGAGCTGGGGATGGCTGCAGCGTGAATCCTTTCATTGTGTGATATGTAGGTGCTTTAGGGTACGTCATATATCCAGTTTTGACATGGTTGGATCAGTAATTAAAAAGTTGGCATTTCATTGGATTCGTTGAACGCTTCATTTAACTCGGAAAGTGTTTTCGCATTAGGGTTTTAGAGTGTTTTGTAATAACCATCCAAAAAACAGACTGAGGGCCTCACCACACCAATGTCGAAAACTGCATTTTCGACATTTTCTCCTCGCCACACAGCATGTCGAAATCTGAGATGCAGAAAAAATTCAGGAGCTGTCAGGGAAAGGGTTTCGACAGCTCCTGTCAAGAAGGGCTCGTTTCCCAGCCTGCAACTTGCACATTTTCAACAGTCCTCGGATGGCATGTCCAATTCTTGCCCGAATGTCGAAAAAGAGAACGCACCAACTCTTGTCCTATCTTCACCCCAGTTTGTCTCTTTTGTGCACAGGACTTGTGAGTTCTTCACTTCGGCATGCTGTGTGGCGAAGAGGGGTTTTCTGTCGAAAGAGGGAATGTCGAAAATTTCCTGACATATGTCGAATTTCGTGATGTTTCGACACTGGTGTGGCGAGGCCTTGAGAACACTGCTCATTTCTGGGATTTGCCTTTGCTGAGATTCCCGCCTTCTGCTGTGATCTCTAAGTCTGTGTGTGTGTGCCTGCCTGCTGGTTTGCATGCCTGTCTGAGTGCTTGTCGGCTGAGTGTGTGTGTGACCCGCAAGGGTACTTGTTGGTTGAAAGGCCCCGCAGGGCCGGTACTTACCTGTGGCCGTGACTTTGAGGGTTGCAGCGGGGAAAACACTCAAGTGGCGGGGGTTAGGCCCACGACACTTAGAGCAGCGGGAAAAAAACACACGAGTAGTGGTAGAAGTGTCGGGTACTGGAGGACGAGCAGAAGAAGACAAAAGTCGAAAGGGAGGAGGTACCGGTTCCTGGGAGGCCGCTCGGCCTAGGAAGTCACCGCCCAAGAGGCCAGTAGGCCGCTAAATCTTCAGGAGCAGCAAGCAGCTCCTCCTCATTTTGCGGTATGCAAGGATTGGCGACATGCTGCTGGAGCCAAGCGCTGGACTTGGGAAGCGCTGCCTGGAGGAGATGAGCAGCTGGGCGCTCGGCCTGGCTATGGCGAGCAGCCCAGCCTGAGGAGGAGGAAGAAGGGGGTGAAGGAGGAGAGTGGCTAGGTACTTACCTGGCTATGATGGACACCATCTTCATCACCTTGTTGGGCGCTGCATCTGGAAGGCCCCAGTTGGGGTAGTGTTGCATACTGTAACGTGCAGACCAGAACAAGAACCGACCTTTCAATACAAAGTATAAGATAGCACAACAGAAGACTTAGATACCAGTGATCCGAACAATCAATGTTGAAATGCAGCCCTGAACATACATCATCATCATCGTTACATGGTGTGAAATGGGCCTGGCGCTTCACACAGGAAGACTGCGCCAGCCCATACCATACACAGATGAAGAGGAAG